AATTTCACTTTAGTCCTGAATTTTGGATCTCCTACAATTTAGCCATCTTCTCCAATTTGACCAACATTTGCTTATGTCATTCATTTTAATCAACATATATCACAATATCAAAACACATATTATAACGCTCTAAAACTCATAGAAATTCGTTAAATATCAAGTTTAGATAATGTCTAAAGTATGAGTGAAATACACTCATCAGCTGCAGTCGAACTCTAACTCTACAAATAAGTCAGGGATTTCACAAAGTGACGAAAAAATGAATGCAAAAGATATTTAGAGCTTGCCTACCTAGATATTTACTATAGTCCAGAACATGAGGGATTTCTGTATGATAGTCAGCTGCCGTCTCACAGAAATGATTTGCTATATCAAAAGCAACAGGATTGTAACTTGAATATTCATAGTCACTGGCAGATTTCAATAATTTAAGAAATAGAATATTGAAATCTGCAGATTATCAAATGCAATCATTATAAAATAAGAATGGAGATAGAGCCAAATCCACTATTTATTTTTAAAAGTCAGAATAAAGAGTTGGAGCTTATTTTTAAGCATTTATTCTCTAAAAAGAGCCAAATCCATTCGTTGAATTATGTACATATCTGTAAAGAAACCAACACTAATTGCCAACAAGTGGTATTCTTAATCGAATTTTAACAATGGTTTAACGCCAACATCCCATGATTCGAATTTCTCGGAATTCCAGAAACAGTAATCAAAGCTAAAGAACCTTAAATACAGTTTTTTTTCCCTCAAAATAACCATGAAGATCAAATGAAAAAACAATTCACGGGAAATTTTATCACCATAAGAAACAAAAACAAATAAACACTTAAAACACACACACAATTACACAAGTAAATCAGTTTTTCTTAAATGTTTATGGTTCCATACAAACCTGAAAAATCCATTTGTTCATGATGATAACAGCAACGTTGAAACCCCACCATTCACTGATGGCTAATACAGATCTAATTACGCTCCACTGACACAATCGACTCTCCTCCATTCTTTCACGACCCCAGATCAAATTTCACTACAATCAGACAATTTTTTTTCCCAAAAAGAAAGATTTAACAAAAAAATGAAGAACCCACTAATTATTTGCCCAATTACTGTGTTCGTAACTTACAGTCAGATGGGAGAGATGAGAGGAGAGACGTGAGGACTGAGGGACTGAGGGTTTTGAATCTTTTGATTTTGAAGGAAGTATTTTTCCTTTCTTATTTAAAAAAAAAAAAACTTCGAAAAAAAAAAAATTCAAAGTCTAGTTGGGCACGTGCCCCACTAAGCCCCACTGTAGATCCGCCAGTGAACCCAATTCATTTCACACCTCCGCTAGTGACAGGCAGCAACGACACCTTGCAAGACAGGCGCAACGTCGCTACCTAGTGCAACATTAAGTAGTAGCGAAGCGCGGTGTGGCTATGAACAAAGCAGCCACGAGGCACGCTCGCAGTTGCTTAGTGAGTATTGACAATCGACGATTGCTTTGTTGTGCGCAGTGGCGATGTATGTGCATCAACAGCGGTGTTTCAATTCCCGTAGCGGTGTCATGCTTCCTGCAGGGATGATGGCTCGCTTCGAATTCTTTTCGTTTTCTCTTCATCTCTGTTGTATGTTGTGTTGATGGGTGTGGTAAAATTGAGGAAGGTGGTGGTTGTAGTGATTTGAGGAGATAATGGTGGTGATTTGTGGATACAGACTGTGGTAACGATGCGATGGGGGTGGTGGCAGCGGGTTTGGAGATTTTTTTTGTAGGGTGGTGGTGATAAAGGTGGTTAATGCCAGCGAGACATTGGTTTTGATTGTTGGAGTGGTGGTAGCTTCCGTATTTTGGCAACGCGACGGCGAGGATAGTGATGTTGGTAGTGGTCGTGGTAGTGGGCGCGGTAGTTGTGGGTGTTTGTAATCAGTTATTTGATTAATTGTGACCAATAAACTTGTTCATTTTCTTACCAATAAATAATATATGATCAATTACTCGAGATTGTGACAAATAAATTGGATATTTTATGATTAATAAATAATATGTGATCGATAATTTGTGATCCATAAATAATATGCGACATAAAAATTTGAATTGTGACGTGTAAAATTTGTGATTTGTGATCGAAAAATAAATTGTAACCTATAATTTTTTTTTGATTTATGATCGATGAATAGATTGCGGCCCATAATTTTTTTGATTCGTGATCGAGAAATAATTTGTAACCAAATACTATAGAATTGTAACTTTAACATATTTAATTATTAAAATATATATTTCATTAATTATTTTATTAATATAATTTAATCAATATTTAATTTTTGAAATTTTAAACCTTATTTTTTAGTTTTGAAATGAACAATACTTAATCTCTTAAATATAAAATTTTTCCAAAGTTAAAAGAGGCAATAAATGTCCGAACATTGCCAGCCTAGCAAGGTCCATGTTGTGCCAAGCAACCATGTCAGAATCGTACGTGCTTACAACTCTAGGTATGATTAATTCACACCCACCTTAATCGAAAAAATAGAAAATAAATAAAAATATCAGTATTGTATCGTCATTATCAAATAATATATTTTCACGTTATCTGCATGTGTGGTATCTGATCTTAATTTTAAATCAAAATCAACAATTTATTTTAATACACATTCCATGGGATTATAACTTTTCAACCACGTATTTCATCAGCTTTTATCAAAATTTATTAAAAATCTTATTTTAATCTATAGCAAACAAGGCTATATATTTGTATCCAAATTTTTAGGAAGTTAACGGTATTGTGATCCTATTAATAGTAATGTATCGTTCAATTATCATTAGTATTTGTCGTTATTAAGTATAGATATTAACCGTGATAAATGTTTCATGTCGGTAACAATCAAAGATTGTTATATTATTATCATTTATTTTGTCGTTACCAACATAACTATTGTGGTGATAACATTGCAATTAATCAGATGTCACAATAGATGTAAAATATTTCTTCGAATTTCATTAATTACTTGTCATAAGTTGGAGAGAAATTTTAGTATGACGGTCTTATATGCATGTGTGGAAGGATTATCAAATCATAGACCTCGAACTCCGAATCACTCAAATTATGATATTTAGACATCCAAGGTGAAGAGAGAGAGAGAGAGAGTTGGTGGTTAGATCTACTTGAATGTCGAAATATCGTTATTTAAGTAGGTTAAGGTTTGATATATCAATTTAAATGATCAATCTGTGCCAACCTTTTGTTTTACTTTTATTTCAATAGCTACCGCAACAAAGAAAAGGGAACACAATTTTTAAGGGAATAAATGTCAAATAGGCGAATTAGGGTGTATCACATGCAAAACGTAGGACGAGCAGGTTCGACACAATTCGATTTACAAACGGATCAATGTGGAAGCTCATAAGAATTCGTAAACTCATTATCGATAAAGAGAATAAGAGTATGTTTGAGCCACATTTTTTGTATAGAATGCATTTTATGATAGTAGATTGATGGAGAATATGTGATTAAAAATTAAGAAAAGTTTTTGAGTTGCGTGCAATATTATTTTATTAAAGAATGTGTGGTTGAAAAGAAAATAGAGAAAAATGTATTTTAAAAAAATGGGAATCAAACGAGAGCTAAAATTAAATTGTACTAAGTGCCACTTGTGATTATGATAAATATATTAAGCGTGCGTTTGATTACGAGTATAAAAATTGCATATAATTTTTTTTTCTAGATAATTGA